CGCCGCCGTCGCCGCGGCCCGGCCCGGTGGGGCAGCGCACCCTGCTGGCGGCCTTCGGCGCGGGGACTGAGGGAGCGCGCCGCGGAGGCGGGGCCCGAGCCACCCACCAGAACTGTCGCCGCTTTGTGAGGTGGCTCTGCCGCGCAGGCGGGAGTGTGCGTCGGGGGCGGTGCTTGCCCGCACAGACACACCCTGAAGCGGTCTGCGCCCCACCCCCTCGCGGCGCCGCACAAATGGTCGCACTTTATAAGGCGGTGCGGAGGGCCGCCGAAAGCCCGGTGGGGCGTGCTCTACTGGGCGGTGCTCAGCGCAGGACACGCCCCCAAGGTCCTACGCCCCGCCCCCAGGCCCCGGGATCGGCGGGCCGCGTTGCGTAAGGTGGCTCGATGTAAGTCTGGCAGAGTGAGGGCAGAGCGCGGCAGGGGGCTGCGCGGACGCGTCTGGGCCCCACCCTGCACGAGCAGCCCGGATTTGTAACTAGGCTTCCCTGACCGCGGGTGCTGGGGACCCTCGGGCCCGCCCCCACGCCTGGGCTCCGCCCCCAGGCCTGGGCCCCGCCCCCAGGCCTGGGCCCCGCCCCCGGGCCCGCCTGGCTTTGTGAGGCGGCATGCGAAGAGGCGGGCTCTCTGCTCGAGGCCCCGCCCCTACGCCGGCCAGCTCCCCCTCCCCCGGGACTCGCTTTGTGAGACGCCCTGCTGGGGAGGGGGCGGAGCCAGAGCCAGCTACCCGCCCCGCCGTGACCCCAGCCCAGCCCAGAGCCGCCGGCGTGTTGCTGGGGCTTCTACGAAACCTGAACCCTGCCATCCGCCCACCCAACCTCCCTTGTCTGTTCTCGTCATCCGTATCCCTCCTGCTGCGCCTTCTTCAGCTCCGCCTTCCCCGTTACACCCCGTATCTCAATGATAGCAGCCCATTGAGTCCTGTGCCCTTTAACCCCTTTTGGGGACTCACCCAGCAGCCGCTTCCCTTCTCCCCTCGGTGGTACCCTTCCCCGGATCAAGTCATGCCCCACTCTTTCCAGTACCTCCTTCGAAGCCCACACCCCTCCTGGCACTGCAGGGCCCTACCAAGTGGCCCTAGCCCCCTTATACCCCACCCTGCCTGAGGTTCAGGGTCCCCCAACGTGGTGATATCACCCAACTCAGCCACCCAGCAGGGGGACCTCGCGGTCTCAGGCTTGAAGGATTCAGGGCGTATGATAGTACAGCACGTGTTACAGTAACTTAGGCCTGGGGGTGCACAGAACACCCACCCCAAACTCTGTGCTCAGACAACCCAGAAGGGGCCAGGTCAGATGCAGCTGGGGAGGAGGAAGGAGGGGTGAGGGTTGGATGTGGACCACGAGACCTGCTATGGGCCAGAGCAAGCTGGAAGAACTCTTCTCTGATTCTTTTTTCTTTTCTTTTTTATTTTTATTCTCTTGAAACAGGGTCTCACTGTGTGGCCCAGGCTGGCCTTGAACTCACAGAGATTCTCCTGCTTCTGCCTCCCAGCACCCAGATGACAGGTGTGTACTGCTATACCAGGCTTTCTGGTGGTTTTGAGAAGCTAGGGGTCTGCAGCAGGGCTGCTTGCTTTTTGTCCAACCTCCAGGCCACACCTTCAACCCCTCTCCCCCACTTCTGGGAGGAGGGTCCTCTGGTCCTCATCATCCCCCTGTTCAGTTCCCTGAGAAAGCAGCAGCTGAATTGGAAACGCCCCCCTCTCCCAGTACTGAGCCCCCGAAAGCCTCCAGGCCTCTTGAGAGAACAGAGGGCTCCCCAGTCCTCGGCCTCCTCACTGGCATGCCCGGAAAGTGCTGAACTCGGGGGGCTCTGGTGAGGAGGACGTGGAGGTCGGCCTCTTCCGGGGCCCGGCACTGGCACTGCCAGGGCAGGCATCCAAGGTGGTCGCTGGGTCTTCCTCAGAAGTGGTCCTCTTTGCCTGTGGAAGAAAAAGAACTGATGGATTGGGAGGTCAGCACCCAGGGTTACTTCATGTTTGGGGGGCCCCCTCAGCCCATCAGATCTCACATCACCGTGCTCCCTATATCACAGGTCTTTATTTTATTTATTTACTTAATTTTTTTTTTTTTTTTTTTTTTTTTTTTTTTTTTTTTTTGAGACAGCGTTTCCCTACACAGTTCAGGCTGGCGTTGAACTTGCTTTGTAGCCCAGGCTGGTCTCAAACTTGCAGCGGTCCTCCTGCCTCAGACTCCCAAGTGCTGGGATTACGAGTGTGTGCTGCCGTGCCCAGCCCCCAGCTCCTGCCTTCCTCGCAGCCCAGTAAAGGTCACAGAACCAGGACTAAAATTCCAGTCCCATCACTGCCTCATGGTGACCTCAGCTGAGTCACTTAACCCCCCATGCCTGAGTTTTGTGAAAAATAAGGAGATGCTAGTACCCATCACTAAAGTTGCTAAGAGGCTTAAAGAAGTAAAACAGAGGGCTGGGGAGACAGCTTGGTGGTCTAAGCTCCTGCCTGGCAAGCACAGGGACCTGGGTTTGATCCCTGGTACCAAATGCCGTGCCAGCCCTGGAACCCTGGGTGCACCCATGCCAGCCACCAAAACTGGGAGGATCACTATGAGTCTGAGCTGCATAGTTTGACCTTGTACCAAATAAATAAAAGATTTTTACAAAGAAGTAAAACGGAGATGTGGTGGTGGTACCCACCTATAATTCCTCCACTCAGGAGGCTGAGGCAGGAGGATGACCATGAGTTCAAGAACAACCTGGGCTCCACAATGTGCTCAAGGCTAGCCTGAACTACACACTGAGCCCTGTCTCAAGAAAGAAAGAAAAAGAAAGAAAGAAAGAAAGAAAGAAAGAAAGAAAGAAAGAAAGAAAGAAAGAAAGAAAGAAAGAGAAAGAAAGAAAGAAAGAGGGGCTGGAGAGATGGCTCAGTGGTCTAAAGCACCTACTTGGAACAAGCTTAGCGAAGCATCAGGGACCGCGGTTGGATCCCCCAGCACCACATGCCAGCCAGCCCCGCCCCCTGGTGGGCTGAGCTGGCCACACACACACACCACATACTCTCTCTCTCTCTCTCTCTCTCTCTCTCTCTCTCTCTCTCTCTCAAATAAATAAATAAATAAATAAAATTAAAAAAAAAAAAGAAGAAGAAAATAGGAAGAAACTAGTCCACTCCACCTCTTAGGGTGTTACAGAGGCCCCCCTTCCCCGCCCACTAACAGTAAAAGACCTGTCAGCTTCTTTTAATTTCGGCAAACCATACAACTTTGTAACTCTTAGAACACTAAAATTGAAAGCAGAAACACTGCTATTTGCACACCCACGTTCACAGCTGCCCTGTTCACAAAAGCTGAAAGGTGGAAGTAACCCCCTGTTCCGTCAGTACAAGAATAGAGTCATAAAATGTGGTCCATACGATGCAGCCTTAGAGAGAAAGCGAACTGTGGGTTGGGTTGGGTTTGGAGACAAGGTCTTCCTGTGTAGTCCAGGCTGGCCTCCAGTTCACAGCAATCTTCCTGCCTGCTGCACAAGTGCTAAGATTTTTTTTTTTTTTTTTTTTTTTTGGTGGAACCGGGGATTGAACTCAGGCCCTTGTGCTTGCCAGGGCCGCGCTTTTTCCACTGAGCCATCTCCCCGGTCCCAAGATTTTTTTTTTTTTTAAAGACCTAGTCTCACTGTGTAGCTCAGGTTGGTCTTGAGTTCTCTATGTAACTGAGGCTGGCCTTGAACTCATGGAGATACCCCTGCTTCAGCCTCCTGAATGCTGGGATTACAAACACATGCCACTGTGAGAGCTCAATAAGTCTTTTTTTTTTTTTTTGTACGGGGATTGAACTCAGGACCTGGTGCTTGCCAGGCAGGTGCTTGAGCCACTGAGCTATCTCTCCAGCCTGAGTCCAAGTCTTTTTGCCAGCACTATCTGAAACGTTAGGCCGGACTCTGCAAGTGCTCTGGACATTACCTACTGTCTGAGTTCTTGCTCCTCCCGGCCTGCCCCTCCCCTAGGATTCTCTGTTCTGCCTTGGGCTCAGAAGATCCAAAGAAATCCTGTTTCCTATCGACTGGATCTACCCTGATCTGCTTCTGCAACTTCCAGCATCAACAGCAGCAGAACCAAACCACCCATCCTGGACTCACTGGGGCCTGCGCCGTCCCCTCCAAGTTGCCTAGGTGCCCACTCTACCCTCCACAGCCTGTCTTTCCCTTGAAAGCTGCCAGAGGGCGCGCGTGAGCACCTGTGGCTCCCTTTGGTAAAGTCAAAGTCTACCAACCTGCACGTGTCCCGCGTACATCTCAAGAGCCACCACAATGGGACCTTCTGTAGAAAGAAGCTGGCTAGACACTTCCTCGATCCATGAAGTGTATGGGTCATGTATCTCTAATTTATTTTATTTTATTTTATTTTATTTTATTTTATTTTATTTTATTTGCGGAACCGGGGATTGAACTTGGGCCTTGCGTTTGCCAGGTAAGCACTTATTCTACTGAGCCATCTCCCCGGCCCCTGTATCTCTAATTTTGTATAAAAAAAATTATAAAGTACAAATACTAAGACTGTCACATACTCTATATATGCAGAAGTGTCGGATAGACCCAGGCTTCTACCCCACACTGACACTGTGACAGGACAAGGGAAGGGGACACTTCTCTAAAACAGGAGTTTTTCTGGGTGTGGTGGTACACACCTGAAATCCCACCATTCATGAGGCTGAAGCAGGAGGATCCCTGCAAGTTCAGAGTCATCCTGGGCCACACACTAATTTCAAGGTCATTCTGAAGGATATATTGAGACCCTGTCTCAATAAATAAATAAGCAAGCCAGAGTTTTGGAGCCAGGCATAGTGGTATATGCCTGAAATCCCAGCACTCAAGAGGCTGAGATAGGAGGATCCCTACAGGTTCAAAGCCAGCCTGAGCTACATAGTAAGACCTCCATCTCAAAAACCAGAATTAAATACGATGCGACTCTATTTCCAAGTGGAACATTAAGCTGAAGTCCTTGAAACGACACACAACAAGCCATGTGCGCCAGGGGTCAGAGGGCATCACAGCATCCGAAGGCTCTCATGCAGGATCCCCAAGGGCCACCTGATCACTGTGAATCCCGTCACCATTCTGAGGGGGCAGTAGGCTGACCAAACGGGGCGCATGACAGCCGTGGCATCTCACCACCCCCCACGAGTGAAAACCCTGTCCCATCATGGCCCTGGGCTTTCTAGAGCTGAGCCCAAGCCCAGGCTAGGTCCAGATTCCCTGACTCTCCGCTGTTCCTGGAACCTGGCGTCAACAGGGAACCCAGCCCAGTGTGACCCCTGGCCCACGTTAGGACCATCAGCAGGACTCGGTGACGGAGCAACGCAGCCACTCACCATGGAAATGGCAAACAGGGAGTTGTCGAAGGACATGTCTGAAACAGAGAGGACAGAACAGGTTGGCCTCTGCATCTCTGCTTGTCCCCATCTTGTGCCCTGCCCCACAGTGGGGGAGGAGTATCTCCCAGCATCCTCTGCTCACTCCTGCCCATTTGTAGGCCTGGCTTGAAGTAGAGCTGCAGGTGGAGCCAGTCCCTTTGGGCCTACTCACATCCCCAGGGAAAACAGGTGCCTGTCACTCCTGCTTCCCTGAAGCAGCCCACAGGGGAACCTCCAACTTGCTTGGTCACCCTCTTTTCACCCCACCTTCTGTTTTTACAGTCTTAAAATATAGTTTAGGACTCAGATTCCTGCCAATCCGCCTGCCTCAGCCTCCTGTGTGCTGGGATTATAGGTTGTGCCAGCACATCCGGTCCTACTCAGCTACTCTTCCAAGTGTCTTCTTTTTAACACTATCCCCCTGGGGACAGCCTCTGCTCCCACTACCCGATGCTCCCTACCCACTTCCGTTGCGGACAGAGACCTCAGCTGTCTTATTGACAGTGGGACCCTCCCAGATCTCAGCACATAGTAAGTTCTCAATAAATTGGTCGGACCTGGATGTGGAGGTGCACACCTGCCAATTAGCGCTCCAGAAGGCTGAGGCAGGAGGAAAGCAAATTCCAGCGCAGCGTAGCCTACCTAGCAGCTTAGTGAGATTCTGTCTCAAAAATGCAAACATACAGGGTCAGGGAGATGGCTCAGTAGAATAAGCGCTTCCCTGGCAAGCACAAGGGCCTGAGTTCAATCCCCAGTTCCGCAAACAAAAAAATGCAAACAGCCCTGAGTTCAATTTCCAAGATTGAAAACGAACGAAAGAATGAATGGATGGAGTTTCTGTGTTGTGCCTCCTGTGGACTGGCTGCCCACTGCCCGCTGCAGGGGACATCAGCAGGATGGTGTGGGAAGGCAGGTGGGCTCCATTCCTGCCAGGGACATCCAGTGAGCCACAGTCATGACCCAGCCCACAGTGGAACACACAAACACTTGGTGATTAGTTCATTGGGTTTCTAGGCAGGCACAGTGGCACATGCCTGCAATCCCAGCACCTGGGAGGCTGAGGCAGGAGGGTTATCATGAGTTTGAGGACAGCCTGGGCTACATAGAGAAACTGTGGGACATAAGAAAAATGGAAACCCGGGGAAGCAGGAAATGTGGGGTTTTGTTTCATTTTTTTAAGAGTAGGAAGAATTTACTGAGAAAAAAGCTTCTGTCTAAGAAGGGACAGAAGAGGGCTCGGAAGGTGGTTTGCCCACTACCAACTCTGCTTCTCAAGGGTGTTTTATTGAGTAAAGCAATGAGGGGAGGAGCTGGGAAGATGGCTCAGTGGAATAAGCACTTCCCCGGCAAGCTCAAGGGTCTGAGTTCAATCCCTGATTCTGCAAAATAAAAAAAAAGCAATGAGGGGAGGCAGGCTCAAAGTGGGACTGAACTATGATCCACCAAAAGGATGACAATTATACACCCAGGCAGTGTTCATCCATGGGAGTCCCAAGGTGGGTATGGGGCGGGACAGGATTCTGGTGAACCAATAAGGTTTGTTGCTATTTTGTTGTGTTTTCTTTTAGATAGGGTCTCATTATGCAGCCTAGGCTGCCGCCTAACTCATGGTGATCCTCTTGCCTCAGCCTCCCAAGTGCTAGAATTACAAGCACACACCACAATGCCCAGCTAGAAAGAGGATTTTTTTTTTTTTTTTTTTTTTTTTTTTTGTACCAGGAATTTGAGCTGAGGGTCTTACAGTACTGAGCTACATCCCTGGCTCTGAAAGTGAAAATGCCTTTTACTAAACTTGCATGCTTTATTTTCTTCTTTTTAGAATCCTAATTAAAGAAAACAAAACAAAACCCCTCATGTTTCTACTTAAAACCTTAACAACAACAACAATCAAACAAGATCCTAGGGGGCTGGGGAGATGGCTCAGTGGAATAAGCGCTTCCCTGGCAAGTGCAAGGGCCTGAGTTCGATTCCTGGTTCCACAAAAAAAAAAAAAAAAGATATTTGTCACAGTGTGTTACACTCTAGTCATTTTATAAATCAGGTGTGATGGGACACATATCTAATGCCAGCACTCAGGAGGCTGGGACAGGAGGATCACTGCAAGTTTGAGACCAGCTTGGGCTACACAGTGAGCTTTAAGGCTGGCTTGAAGTTCAAAATATAA